GTCTGGCTCCCCGCAAGGTCTGAGGGACAGTGGACCAGCCCCCTGCTGAAAAAGTTTGCTGACCTGTGGGTATTGCAGTCCAGAGATGTTTAAGGCTTTATCGGTCAAAACCAGCACTTTGAATTGGGCCCGGAAATTAAATGGCAGCCAGTGCAGTCGGGCCAGGATTGGTGCAATATGCGCAAACCGTCTTGTCCTGGTGAGAAACCTGGCCACTGAATTCTGCACCAGCTGAAGCTTCCGAACCGTCTTCAGAGGCAACCCTACATATAACACATCAAGTCATTCTTTGTTGCTCCTGTACAGTGGGTTTTTTAAATAAAAAAGGGGGGTTGCCGGTATTCGCCATGATGTTGTTCCAGTAAGTGCCACACTTTAAACCTTTGAGGAAAAATAGGTGCGTACCCTGGAGTACCTATAGAAAAAAGCACTGCTCCGGGCAGCAAACTCGATGCTCTCTAGATGTTGCTGGACTACAATTTATTTAATTTAGCAAAAGGTATATATACCCCTTGATTGCAATTAAACATGGAAGCGGTTCACAAAAACAACCAAACATTAAAATCACCAATAAGAGACAGTTAAAACCAGGTCTTAAAAAAAACACACATTCAAAAGTTAATTAAAATCAACAACAAGCAAAAACAGATCAAAACATAGTCTTGCCTAAATGAAAACGTTTTTAGTCGAGGCCAAAGAAAGCACAGCGAAGATAGTTGCTTTGTGTCAATAAGGAGGGAGTTCCGAAGTATAGGCGCTGCCACACTGAACATTCAATTTCTTACAAGTGCAGAATGAGTATTATGTGGGCACCTGCAAACGTGCCAGTTCCGCAGATCAAAGTGGACATATAGCAACAGTCTGGAAGCGCGCTGAATAATGCCAAGGTTGCAAGTTCGATCCCCGTATGGGACAGCTGCAGATTTCAGCATTGACTGGGGTTGGACTGGATGATCCTGAGGGTGCCTTCCAACTCTACAATTCGATGAAAGCTTGCAAGGCCAGCAGTGAAGCTTTCCTGGTTCTGCGGAAGGTTGGACATGGGTTTCCCACCTACCGAACTAAGGACTCTCCTGCCCCCCCCCCCATGCCAGCTAATAAAGATGTGAGAAGCAAGGTGGAAGTTAATGATGATTCATGCCCAGATTGCCTACACAGAGCAGAGTCACCACAGTACAGACCTGCTGTCTGTGGTCCGCTCTCCCGGTGGGCTGGGGCTTGCGGAAAGGAGCCAGGGCAGGCCCCCTCCACCGCCTCCCCTGTATCCTTCTCCTCCCATAGTCCCAACCTGATGCTTGACTTACAATCACCAACCAGTTTGCAGCCTCCAGTCCCCGAAGAAAGACTAAAGTTAAAACATCTGTTAATTTATAAACCAATTTAACCATGACTGGTTAATAAATAGCGAACAGCTGCCAATTCCACTACCCCTTAGCTCAGAAGAAGGGCACTCTGGGAGCCAGGATGGGAACAGATTAATTGAGCTGCCTTTTTAAAAACTCGGCTCCTTTCTTGGGCACACATGTGGCATTTTGCTCACTCCCTGCTTCCCCCATCTCTAGCCATGGTTGCGGAACTTCCTCTCCCCCAGAATCGAATCACCTTCTTCCTGAAAAAACCGAGAGTCTGTCAGACAGGTGGGCTGGGATGCAAGCAGCAGACAGTGGCTGGCACCTCTTGCTTTAAAAAAATTGGTTTATATTGGCTGTCCACAAGTGCCACAGACGTGCTGCTTGATTTCTGAAAGAAGAAGAGATTCAGAAGGAACAGGACTCTAAACTGTCCCAGAGAGATGCCCTCTCTGCTCCGGGCCCCTTCTCCCCATCCAGCTCCATTTGAACAAGCGGCTGGCTGCTGTTCTTTACTAGTAAAGGAAAGACACACCTTGCATGCTCAGATGCACTCTTTTTATTATTTTGTCAGATACCACGCTAGGACTGAGAGGTGGTAATGAAACCATGTTTGAGGAGAGCTGCCAATGAGCTGGTTCACATGGAATGTGATATCTTAGGCTTCTGCAAGCACCTCCTCACTCTTTTGCTCCAAGATTGAAGGGACTGGAAATGTTTGCTGCCATTTTCAACCGACTTTGGTTTGTGGTTTGTTTTAACTATGGTTTAATCCAGCTGGTTTGGATAAACCATAGCTGGCACTGACTGCAGTTCCCGGTTAGGATGCAATAACAAACTGAGGTTAACTTGAAGTGGAAGTGGGTGTTTCTGATCACCTCATTGTAATGGGGTAGATAAACAAGTCCAAGACTGGTGCACATAATGCTAAACCATGGCTTTGTGTTGGCAGGCGAATCAGCTCTCAGAATAAGTCCTGGGGTACAAGTACCCAGTGCTGATAACAGAAAGTGCCTGAATTCTCAGTATGAGAGTCGCTAGGAGAGAAGATTGGCAATTAGGGGTACATCCCTGATCATGTTCACTGTGCCTTTTCTCTTTAAAAGGGGGAAAGACACTCTGCACATGCTCAGGTGTGCTTCACCATTACCAGGTTCCTACTCCCACAAATAGACTCTCCATAGAGACATCCTACTTCATAAAAATGTCATTACTCTGTTAAAAAAAATGAATCAGATCCATTAAATTAATTTGGGGAGCCAGCCAACCTTTCAGGCCAGTGGGCACATTTGTGATTTTGAGAAAGTGCTGAGGGCACCAGTCACAAAATGGCTACCATGGCATAACAAAATGGCCGCCACATCTAAAAGAACCGAAAATGAGGACCACGAAATGGCGAGGGCATGCTTCCTATGTCCCACCAAAAGGGGGGAAAGTGCATGTATATCAGCCACTGCCATGCTCACTCACAGAGAAAAGCTTTTTCTACTGTGTAGAGCAGAGGGGTGGGTGTCCGATCCTGGCATCCTTTGAAATGTGGGCATGTTTAAGGGAGCATGTTCAATGTAGGAGAGACCGAGCCAGTGCAAACAGGAACAGAGCAGGAAGACTAAACCATCTCTGTGCAGTGTGGATTTTTGAGGGGACATTTGTGAGCACCATAGGGTGTACTGGTGGGCACAATGGCAAGCTGTGACCTGACACATGCCACTATATTTATTTGTTTGTTTGTTTGTTTGTTTGTTTGTTTGTTGTTTACCTCACTTTTCAAATTTCCAACAGTTTGAAGATTTAGGACTCAGCTATACAGCTGCAAATAAAACCTTTTAAGTATGTTTTAAGTGCAATAAACAATATGACACTAGGTGGTGATGGTGAGCCTTATGGAAAATTCAATGTATTTTTTTAAAAACGCTTTTTAAAAAGCATTTTCAGAACGTTTTTTAATATGTGTGTAGCTTCCACCCAAGTGTAACATGGTCCTTCCCTCCAGGTTTACAGTCTAAAACACATGACAACAAAAGCAAATATATTGGAAGGCAGGAGGAACAAAAGCACGCGACTTCTTAGTTCCAAAGTTCTTATTGTTGGATGGTTTTAGATGAGTAGGAGAGCATATTTTATTTACTTGTTATCCTTCCTCTTCTTACTTATGTAAGAATGCAAATACAGTCATACCTTGGAAGTCGAACGGAATCCATTCCGGAAGTCTATTTGACTTCCAAAATGTTCGGAAACCAAAGCGCGGCTTTTGAGTGGCTGCAGGAAGGTCCTCGCTGGAAGTTTAGCTTCCAAAAATAGTTCACAAACCGAAACAGTCACTTTCGAGTTTGCTGTGTTCAGAAGCCAAAATGTTCGAGAACTAAGCTGTTCGAAAACCAGGGTACGACTGTACCTATTTCAGTAGAGCTTTTAAAAAGCACCATCTGTGCAGCTTATTTCTAGAAGTTTTTAGAGGCAAACCTAGAACAATTGTATAACCTAGAACAATTATGATATCCGAGGGTGCTTAGGCAGACTTGGATCACTTTTCTCCTATGTTTCCCTCTCATCAAAGAAATAATTCTCAGACTGCTTGAGAAGAAAATACCAGGTTTATTCACAGTGAAGGACTTGCCAGGCTTCAGACAGATACAGTGATGAAAAGCAGGCAGGCAATGATCCTTAAAAGTTACAAAAGTCCATTGTCCAGCTCAAAATGATGTGTGCTTCCTTGAGGAGAACTCACAGACAACTCCCCACTCCCACCCCCATTGTAGGTAAGAAGAACGTCTTTTGGTTCAGCACTCTGGCTTGTGCCAGCTGACTCACGACAGAGCACCGGGACATTCTAGGATCCAATCATAAGCCAGGGTGGCTTCTTCTAATTCCTGCATAAAGGTAAAGGGACCCCTGACCATTAGGTCCAGTCATGGAAAACTCTGGGGTTGCGGCGCTCATCTCGTTTTATTGGCTGAGGGAGCCGGCGTACAGCTTCCGGGTCATGTGGCCAGCATGACTAAGCCGCTTCTGGCGAACCAGAGCAGCGCACGGAAATGCCGTTTACCTTCCTGCTGGACCTATTTATCTACTTGCACTTTGACGTGCTTTCGAACTGCTAGGTTGGCAGGAGCAGGGACCGAGCAGCGGGAGCTCACCCTGTTGCGGGGATTCGAACCGCTGACCTTCTGATCAGCAAACCCTAGGCTCTGTGGTTTAACCCACAGTGCCACCCGCGTCCCATAATTCCTGCATATCCCACTCAAATTGGGACAGTTGAGAGGTATGATGTGGATGTCAGCCCAAGTCAAGGACCAATATCCTAGAGAAGGAGTAGACAATGTGGACTAGACCTCCCTGACCATCAGCCATGCTGGCTGGGGCTGATGGGAGTTGGAGTCCCCATCTGGAGGGCGCCAGGTTGGTTGTCCCTGTCCTAGGGGACACCTTGATGCTCTGACTATATGTATCAGGGTAAAAACTCAAATTTGGAAATTAACAATGGCCACCTGGAGGTTTGCCTCCAGCTACAACGTTTGCGTTAACCTGGCCTCTCTTGTGCTTCCCTCCTCCCCCTCCCCTCCATCAATAATGCACAGCTTTGTGTTTATTACTACTTAATTAATCCACACTTAGGACAATGAAAAGCTGCAGAATTCCCCAAAGTGGGATGGAAACAAGGGGAGATATATGCCGCCGCCACCACCACTTCAGGCCAGGGAGAGCTGAAAAGTCTATCTTACTTGTAGATACCCAGCAGTGAGACACCTGACTCCTCTTGTGGAGGGGATGGACTGTTACAAGCTTCATGGCAGCCAGAGCTACAAATCGGTTGTAGAAATAAATGCAAAACCAGAGCAGGATCAGTACAAGATTCAGAGCCACACACCAAGCAATTGATGCACATTTAAAGCACATAGCTCCAGGAACTGTAGTTTGTGGGGGTGAAACTACAGTTCCCAGGATTCTTTGAGGGAAGTCATGCACTTTAAATGCGCACTGAGTGTGCTTTTAAATGTGTGGGGTAAATCTACCCTAAAACACAAGAGTCGAGACTGTTGGCTAAACTCAGGATGGGTGTAGTTTTGGTGCCACGATCTCCCATGCGTCTTTCAGCACAATGCTCTTGCGGGAGTCGGGCCAACTCAACGTGAGAGTGCAGTACCGAAACAGGACATTCTGGGATCCAGTCAGAAGCTGGAGTTGCTTCTGTAATTCCGGGACGTTCCAGGAAAATCAGGGTGGTTGAGGGGGAGGTATTCCATTGTGGCTAGTAGCCACAGATAGTCCATTTGTACAAACCCTTCTCACACCTCACCTTCTCAGAGAACACACGCCCTGCCAGGAATGTGCAGAATGGCTTTCGTGACTCAGGTAGCAGGAAGAAAACTGAGGGCTAACCAAGAAGTGAGCGCAGATGATGGAAGCAGTTCAGGAGAGCCCATGGAACCTGAAGTGCTGATGCCACAGTGTCTCAGGAATGGCAGGGATCTGAATAACCATAGAGTCTCTAGTCAAGGTGTCCAGTTTTACAGGAGCACTGCACCTGAGACCAAATCCATGAAGGACTGATATGAAACCTTGTCCTCTGCTGACTGACTTCAGAGTCCAGGAACCCCTAGGACACTTGTACCTGGCATATCTGAAGGGAAGAGATCTTATCAATGGCTTCTTAGCTGTAACAGGGACACAGAACCTGATTTGGACACAGGCTTGAGTTCCAAACAGTGATAACAATCAGCAAAGGAGGCTGCTGTCTTCGTGAGCCGCTAGTGAGGTTTTGTAGCAGGGATGAGGGACCTGTGACCCTCCTGATATTGTTGGACCCCGACAAGAATCAGTTCTTTCTAAAATTATAGAAGCACCTGGGTGACTACTGAAAACTTACCTTTTAAAGGAGAGTGTGAGGCAGCCATTTTATTGTGTATACTGGATTTGTGTAATCTGATATTATACATTCTTTCTTCTGGTACCTTTATAGCAGTCCTCTTCAGAAACATTTGCTGTGAAGGATTTTATAAATTTATTTTTTAATATATTGATTTTTATTAGGTTTTTCAAAAAAACAACAACCAACCAATAAATTTACTTCACATACAATATATCATTCACTTCCATTTTTATTTTTGACTTACCACCCCTCCCACACTCATGCTTTTTATTCTTATCCTTAACTGCTGCATTGTTCTTAAACCTTCTAACTCCATCTTATCATCGTTTCCCCCCGCCTCTCGTATCTCAAATCCTGCACACAATTTCATATCACTAAAATATTTCGACAGAAAATCCTCCCCAAAAAGGTATCCAGTTTTCCATAAACCATCATTTTGATCTCTTAGTTTTGCAGTCAGCATTTTATAAACCATTGGTTAGAGCCGATCTCCAGCAATGTCTGGAAGACCACAGGTTCCCCATCGCTGCAAAACTATAGCCATCCAACCGGCTGCTGTGAAGTCCGTGAGTCTCTTTGCTGGGGATAGGTTAGGGTGCTGATTCTGCTGACACTTACGGAATGTTCCGGCACAGCCTGTTCAGGAAGCCTCCGCTAAGCGGACAAGCACACATCATTTCCTAGCAGCCTTCCTCTGCATCTTGTGCTATTCAAAGCTATGTTTGTCTGAGGCTGTTCATTAGAAAAAGAAAGAAAAGACTTGACCTTTGCATGAGCTTCTATCTGCTACAGTCCACCACCATCAGATGCTGAAATATATAAGTACACAACAGCAAGACGTATATAAGGGTCGGTTGTTAGGATTTTGAAAGAAAGCGCCTGTGTGGAATCCTCATCCTAAAGTGAATGCATACCTTAATTTCTTCCACCAGGCTTTATAATGAGAAAGAAATCCATAGTCCCTGTTGAGACCGTCGTTCACCCAATTAAATCTCTATATGTTGTGCCATTGTAGCATGAGCAGGAATGGAGCAGCTGGGCTCCACGGCTGGAATGAGTGTGTGTGTGTGTGTGTGTGTGTGTGTGTGAGAGAGAGAGAGAGAGAGAGAGAGAGAGAGAGAGAGATGGGGGGCAGATGGGTCCCGAAAGAAGGCAAACCAACCCAGCAGGGGCATTGTCAGCCATCTAAACATACACAGAATCCCACTACAACTTCCGGACAACTTCTTTATTGAGCATTCATTTTGAATTGTTTGCAGATCAAAGTTTATGGGGAGGTTAGACTGTGTTGGCTATTATACAATTGTTGGGTACAATTGGATGCCATTTTGAATCCAGATTATGGCATGAACCTTTCAATTCTGCACTAATTCTTACCAAATTTTGCATGATGGTGCCTGAGCTCAAGAAGCAGGTTTCCGTCTGTGTTTGGATACAATTGGACGCCATTTTGAATCAAGATGGCAGACCGCACCTATCAAGCAGCACTGATTTAACCACTAATGCCAAAACTAGTTCTTCAGTAGCACCGTGTATTTTATTTCATAAAATTTAGACAGCTTGATTGTAGGGAAAAAACTAAAAAAAGATAAATCAGGAAAATTATCACTAAAAGATTTACAACTATAATTTAAAAACATATAGAAAGTTAAACCCTAAATAGAAGAGACCAAAACTAATACTCATGCATACTTTCTAAACATCTGGGAAGCCTTGTCTAAATAAGAATGTTTTCAGCAGGCACTGAAAAGAATACTATGAACTATAATGTATGAGGCTGCTAGTATGCTCTAAGAGCTATACTGTACTTAGGTTATCATCAAGTTTTATCCTAAGACAGCAGGGAGGTTAGAATATGATGTCCAATGAAGCTGAATGCCAGTAGCTTCAGGACAAAGAAAAGATAGCACTTCATAAAATACATGTCTGTAATGTTCCCTCTTCCAGAACTAGTTGCCACAGTTGTGGTGCTGGTCTGTCAAGGAGTTAAGAGTGACATACAGTCAGTACGTCTGTCCCTAAATCAAGTCACCACTAACTGTGATTCTTTATGGAATTATAGGGGGGTTGTTCCACTCCTGCATCTCTGTGAACTGAAGCAAGATGTGCGTGTTTGTGTGTGTTATGTTTATTTATGTTGCTTTTCCAAATGTTACTCAGATCACCTCACAATAACAGTAACAAATCATCAATATATAGGTACACACACACACACACAGCCAAAAATATATTGATGCATTTCAAATAGGACAGGGGTTCTCAGACTTTCTACCCCCAGGGCCCACTTGGGAGAGCTGAAAATTGTTGAGACGCACAAGCCACAAAATGGTGGCAGATGGAGTTGCAGTTTCACATAACCAGCTAGCAGCTACTGACATCGCTTTCTACTGATAGCTACTCTCTCTTTGGGAAAGGCTAAGTTCTTTACTACAGCAGTTTTCTTGTGACAAGGAGTTCCATCATTCAGCTTTCCTTGTGCTAAGGCCGAATGTTGGCTCTTGAGGTATTGTGAATCAACACTCCATTTTAGGCAGAAGTAGCTGATCCAGAAGCTTTTAAAAGAGAAGGCTTCTTATTTTATATTTTCCCTTCCCTCTCAACATGCCTCTGAAAGTATTTTTACTCATCTCCTATAATTTCTTCTTCCTTTCTTCTTCCACATTTATCTTGTACCTCATTTTCCCTTCCCCAACTCCCAGTTCCTTTCAACCATCCTCCCTACACCTTTCACATTCACTTTTTCCTCCTTCCCTCTCTTATCCCTTCTTTTTCTATTCCCAGTTTATTACTATTTTTAATATATAAACTCTATCTTTTAAAAATGTCCTTTGGCACCTCCTCTAGTTCTTTTCCCCATGGAGACATCTTTTTTCCTCACTTCTCCTCCCCAAAATCCATCTGTCTCCTGGCCTCCTTTAGGCCTCATCCACATTGCCTCTTGTCTAGGCGTCGGTCGGAGAAGTTTTTCATATGCCCGGCTGCTTTCCCTGGGAAAACCAACGGCTTACAGCTGAATTGGAACAAACATCAATCTGCAGAAAACCTGATTGATGCTTGTTACTATTCAGTGGTAAACATCAGGTTTTCTGGGGGAAAGTGGGGCAAACGAAAAATCTCTCGGGCTCAGGCCTACAAAGCACAGGACAAATGGAAGTATGGACGGGGTCTTAGTCACTATGGGGAGTTGCTGGGGTTGACATCAGCACAGCCAGAGGACAGGGCAGGCAAGTGAGGAGGCCCAGGGCTGGATGGGGCCCTGAGGCCCAGCTGAATGGGGAATGGAGGCCCAGCAATGGCCCTAACCCCACCATTTAAGAAACAATGGCAAAACTACTTTAAATACGCATTGGCAAGCTAGAGAAAGCCATTCACATCAAAGATTCCCCTGAACATTCTGGGCACCTTTGGCAGCTGCAGCCTTTGTAGCTGAAGTCACTCACTTGGCCCGATGGAGCTGAGCCAGGCAGAGGAACCAGGACCAGGTCCTCAGTTGTTGGTATAGCATGGAACTCTTAATCTCAGCGTTGTGGGTTCGAGCCCCACGTTGGGCAAAAAATAAATAAATAAATCCTGCGTTGCAGGGTCCCTTCCAAGTCTACAATTCTATGATTCTATTCTGTGATTCTAGATCGTACAGAACCCACAGCCAGCTAGATGGCCACTAGGTACCTCCAGAAGCAGCAGCAGCTGCTGCTCAGGATCCTTCCATCGCAGGCCAGGTGGAAACGGGACAGACAGAGAACAGGGACCAGGTCTTGTGGGCTTAAAGAGCAGGTAATAATAATAATAACGTGCTGCCCTCCAAATGTTGTTGGGGCTCCCGACTCCCATCATGCCTGAGCATTAGTTGTATCGGCTGTGAGGCTGATGGGGCTTCAAGTCCAACAGCATCTGGAGGAAGCTATGTCATTGGCTATCCCTGGTCTCAGATGGTTTCTGCAACGGGAGGTGCAGTGGCCCATCGTAATGCCAAGAGCGTCCCTTGGGGTGGCATCGGGGGCAGGAGTCACTTCTAACTTGGATGGCTTTAAAAACGAAGAACGCTTCCCAGAGAACCGGTCTCTGTATGGCTAGTAGCTGCCATAGCTGAGTAGAACTTCAGTCTCATTCAAAGATGGAAGGTGGACGTTTCATGTGATCTAGGAGTGGTAGAGAGACTGCATTTCTTTTCTTGGGGTTTAAAATCTTTCCCAGCTCCTTCTTCCTTACCGATAGCTACAGCTCTACGGTTTGTCTCACGGTCCATCTGTTCAATGGAAATCCTTTGCTGGCTGGTTTTGCATTTAGCCTTTTAGACAAAGAGCAAATCTACCGATAGATCTATATCTAATCTATATCTGTAGTGCCCACCCCTGAAGAAGGCCTCTGTCCCTTTAAGATGCCGCCGTTGTCCTGGATCAGCCCAAGCGCCTATTAAAATTTTATGCGAAGTGTAAATGGGGCAAGTCTCCAGCTTCCTCGCTCCCATCGAATGATTTATTACTCGCAAATACCACAGAACTAATTAGTATAGTAATTAATTAATACGAATTTGCATATTTGCATGTGCAATTAGCGCAGTGGAGTGATTACTCTGAAAATGAGAAACTTGGGCTTGTCAGATGTTGGTGTGAACTGGACTGGAAAGGGGTGTGCAAATGAACTTTAAACAGCCTCTCGCACGGCAGGCAGGGGAGAGGGAGACACACAGAGACAGACAGACAGAAGGCCTTGATGGGGGGGGGAGGAAAGGAAAGGGAAAGGGGTTAGGTGTGTGGTAGGAAGAAAAGGCAAGGCGGATTTGCACTTTGTAAGAACACATGATTTGCACCACCCTCCCCTCCCTGCAAACTTGTACATGTGCTAGATTAAAGCTGTCTATGCTGCAAAAATCTCTCCTCTCCCCCACACCGCCCGCCCCACTCCACCAAACCCTTTCCAGTGGAAAGGGATGGGGAGAAAAGCTCCCTTTTATTCATGTATTTCTTCCGATGGCACGGCTCCAACTTTGCTGAGATCCAACCTTATTGTCATGCATTACGCTTCCCTTTCGTAGCTAAGCTATGTGTAATGGGATAACGCAAGCTGTTTCCCAACCCGGGCCTGGTATCGTAGCAGTGACACCTTAAAGGTGCCGGACCCTATTTCTGTTTCCCCCCTCTTCTGTACACATCTTCTTTTGTGGGTGTTTCACATTTACTCCCATGCTGGCAAGCTGGCGATTGCTGCCAACCTGAAGAATTAACTTCGGATGGTTTGGTGGGTTGCTTTTAAAAATTAAAAATAAATCGCATAAACCGATGAGCAAGAACGCCAGAGTGCTTTGTATGCTAAGCTAACAGTTCTGATACTGATGGTAAAGATACAGTCCCAAATAGGCAAGCAATTACCACTATATCCCACCCTAGGCATTAACTCCCATAATGCCGAGTGTTTGTGAAGGGTGCCCCAGTGACTGTGGTATGTGTACCACCAATGGTAATTGCAGGAAGACTTCCTTCTCACACCCACACAGCCTTGCCGGCTCCCCTTATTATTTCCCAGGGTTCTCTGTCTGCAGCCACACTGTTCTGGAATGGAGAGTTGGAAGCGAACACAGAATGCAGCTTTCCGTTTTTATTGAAAAACCCTCAGCTCCTAGCAGGGACAGAGGAAGGGGGTGTGGTGGGGGCGGGTTGCCCCGGGTGTCACCACTGAGGGGGGTGACAAAATGCCCTATGGCTACAGACAAAATGCCAGGCAGCACTCACCGCGGGGCCTGCAGCGTGCCCAAGCCACACGTCTCTCCTGGCAGTGACATGGTGGCTTGGGTGTGTGCACGCTCCATGCTACCCCAAACGGTCCACCCGCCACCTCCTCCTCAGCTGTAGGGCAACTGAGTGGCAGGAGGCAGGCAGACTTCTCAGAGGCCCCACGGAGCGTCCTGCCCCGGCTGGCCCTGCCCCTGGGTGCAAGGCATGCGCGCCACCCCAGGCGCCCAATCGGCCACTGGCTCTTAGCCTTCAAGGTTGATAAGATAGGCTCAAAAGGGCATGAAGAACATCTGCAAAGCCAGTGGTGGGCCTCTGTAGCCTGCTTGGCGATGTGCCCCCTTCAATGGCAAGCAGCAAGAGAAGAAATTAAACATAGAATTGCAGAGTTGGAAGGGACCCTCAGGGTCATCTAGTCCAACCCCCTGCAATGCAAGAATCGCAACTAAAGCATCCATGACACATGGCCATCCAATCTCTGCTTAAAAACCTCCAAGGAAGGAGAGGCCACAACCTCCCAAGGGAGACTGTTCTATTGGCAAACAGCAATTAGTGCCAGAAGCAGTGTGCTCCTCAGTCCCTGAGATGCCACCTAAAGCAACTTCCCCAGCTTCCCTCATGGGTGGGCTGGCCCTGGCCAGTGGTCAGGGATGATGGGATCTGCAGCTGGAGAGCAACAGGTTTCTCCATCCCTGATCTGGACCAACGTCCTATTTCCCACAGGAACCCAACCAGATACCCTGGAGGAGCTCACGAGCAGGACATGGTGGGGATGGCTGCCCACTACAGTTTGCACCTTGTATTCAGAGGTACACTTCTTCTGCTTCTGCTTCTGCTTCTGCTTTTGGTGTGGGAAGGTAGCTTAGACATTCCCTGTTGTATCCTTTCCTCCCTCCCTCCTTTTGGAAAGAAGCGGGGAGCATAACAGTGCAGTAGGAATGTGGGGTGTGAAAACATGCTCTCTGCTGCTACAGCAAAAGTGCTGGCTGACTGCAATCTGCTGCTGCTGCAGAACGCCCAATGGTAGGGCCAGCCCCTAATAAGATAGCTTGCATCCAGGCCTTCCTTGGAAGACTTGAGTCAGAAGTATCCAAAGCTTGTTGCTTGGCCACTGGGACACTTCCCCTTCCCCCCCAAGCAGCTGTCAGTGCCAGCTGCAGAGATTTTTGAAGTCAGAATTGAAAATCACGAGATGGACTTCTCCTTGCTAATCATCTGAATGTAACACATGGGAGTGTAAGGCTTGGAAATAACTTAGTAGTAGTAGTAATAACAATAATAATAATTCAATCACAAAAACACAGGCTGTGGACTGGACCTCTTTTTAAAAACATGACACAGAGTGTCTATCCAGATCTTCTTCCTGCATACAGCAAATGGTATCGAGTAGAGAGAGAGATTGTGTCTGTGGCCCAGGAGTGCCCAACACACACCTTTCAACCATCCCAATTTGACCAGGACATCCCTGAATTACAGAAGCCACCCTGGCTGGCCATTCCCCTCTGATGGCTGTGTGCAGAAGGTTGTATCTTGGGGCAGCCTTCCACCCTGGGCTTGCCTGCAGATGTTTGCTCTTCCCAGTAAACCTCTCTTGGAGCATGCAGACCCCCAAATTTTATTATTCACCCCATTTTCCAGAAGGCAGCAAGACCTGTCTCCATGCCTGGAGTTACAAGGCTCTTTTGCAGGAACCCCATGCCTGGGATTGCCGGAAGCCAAGATGGTGAGCTCTCCAGCTCCTCTCCCAAAAGCTTCTCAGATGCCTCTTTGAGCACAGAATGGAGACAGGAGAGTACAGCATCAGGACCGGAGTCGATTAGGCAATATGATGCCTCCAGGTTGGCCAGGTGGGACTAATAGAAATATTAGGAGGTTGGATTCCTGCCCTTAGCTGGTCAATAAAGCAATACCTTCTGTCTGGTGCAATGTCTGGCGCTTGCAACTGACCTTGAGAACTCTGGACTGGGGGGTGGGAACACACACTCTAGGTTGGATTTGGAGATACCCACCACAGCCCTGGCCTGATCCTGACACCTAGCTGCTAGAGATAGCCTTGCCAAGGTGGGGAATGATTTGTGATATTATCATTCACATGTAGGAGGTTATGCTACAGAGGGTGAGTTCACAGGCTTCAGAAAGGCAAAGCAGGGGGGGCAGAATTTTTATTTTTTATTTAATTAAAAAGTGAATTTTTCAAAATGGTGTGGATTTGTGGCATTTTGCATCAAATGATAGGCAGTCCCGCAACTATCGCCCTTGGTACTGTTGTCTCCATGCCTCCTTATAAGGAGCAATATCTTGGATACTGGGGCAATTTGGAATTTGGTTTTCAGGACGGTTTTCAGGACTGATAAAATGTCGTTCCCTCAAAGCAGAAGCACCTTATGGGGAGATGTGTCCCTGTAGCCCTGCTATTGCCAGTGGAGAAACCTTGAAACATTGGGTCACTTTCCCTCACCTTTATCTCCATTCACCTCCTGCCCCAACTCCAGAAGTCCCACTTCCCAATGTAATTGGAATGAGCTCCTCATTAAAACTCAATTTGGGCTCAATTTCTGCAAAGACAACTCATCTTCAGTGATGGCCCAGGCCACAACCCATCACTCTTCCGCCTACCCCCTGTTTTTGCCATGTTCTGTCTCTGTGGCAACTGCCATCATTATGTACTGTTGCCATGGCAATGGCTGTTGTGTGCCATCATCTCCACATTGCCTGTCTCCACCAAGGCCCATCTCCATGGTGACTTCTTCTCAGGCTATATATCCACAGTGTTCTTCTCTGTGGAAGGATCCACCTCTTGGCCAAAGCTCAGCCAGTAGCCTTGAAGGAGAACCTCCAGGAAACAGGGTTCAGCCCCATCCTGATGCCCTTTCTAGGCCAACGTGGGTCAACTGCAACTTCTATCTGACAGAAAGGCCGGTTCTGGGGGTGTGCTTGCCCCACGTCTCCAACCTTTATTACCATGATGGGGCCTTGTCACACATTACATTCTTTTAGGTGTACAGCTAAGAAGAAGAAGAAGAGTTTGGACTTGATACCCCGCCTTTCACTCCCCTTAAGAAGTCTCAAAGCAGCTAACAATCTCCTTTCCCTTCCTCCTCCACAACAAACACTTTGTGAGGTGAGTGAGGCTGAGAGACTTCAGAGAAGTTTGAGTAGCCCAAGGTCACCCAGCAGCTGCATGTGGAGGAGCGGGGAATTGAACCCGGTTCACCAGATTACAAGTCAACCACTCTTAACCACTACACCACACTGACTCTCGATGTAGTCCAGTTGGTCCTTAATGTTTTGGGGCCAGAGAGGCACATCTGTAAATTGAAGAAACCTCTGTGGGCACCACAAAATACCCATTTTACAAAAGAAAAACTGGTGATGTTCAGATGCAGCCTAAAAACAAACAGAAAAAAAGCAGACGACAACCCACTGTCAAGGCAATGCTCTCAGAACAAAGAACTCCTTTAAAAAAGCAACCAAAAATCACTTTTTATAAATATTTAGAGGGGCAGTTGGCCTTGGCAGGCGCAAAGAGGGATGAGTGCCTGAGGACACCATGGTGTCCTAAGGAACGAGGTAGGGAGACCCAGTTTTAT